AATACCAAGCAAGAAGACCTGTTGAGACTCTCAATAAATGCTTTAATGGACTATTAATGAGTGGTAGACATAAAGTCTTGGCTCCAATTCAAGGAACTGAGCAGCAAGAAAAAGCCTGGGCAGGGCTACTTGACTGCCAGAACCATACTAGGTCAGAAACCTGGTAATAGAAGATATATGCTCCAGATTGAGAACTGGGAATTAGTCCACACCAGCAGAGAACTAGAAAGAGATAGATTTGTTTACCCATTTGAAAGAGCCACACTGGCAGAGAAAAAGAAAGCATGTTTGTGAGTGAAAACCCATTTGATCCATGGATGCGTTTACCTCATGCCCTGAGGGTGGCCCTACCAATGAATAAAGCACCAAAGAGGAAGGAATGGGTCCCTTCAGACGTCAGGGGTGATTGGTTCTTGACTTACTGGACCCAGGTGTCACCTGTGGACAGTTGTGTAGGGTGACTACATGATCAGAGGGCAGTCTTACCTTCTATCTTAGCATTGACAAAGTACATCTTGAAGGATTTATTCCACGGCTGACAGGTAGGTTAACCCACAATGATTAGGGGAAAAGTGTAATAAAAACAACTCTAGGTACCATCAGAATCATCAAAGAAGGTTACCAGAGGGAAATTAGGTGGAAAAGAAGTACTAGAGCCTGAGCTTTCTTTTTTCACAAATTAAAAAATTTCACAACCTTTGCAAACCTTTTTGCAATTTTAACACTTTTATATCCCTTTAGAAATAACCATCTTTAGGATATCAATTTTTAATCCCTGTCCTTCAAAATTGCATTTCCATTCCTTATGACTTTTATTACTAAAACCATACAAATTTTTCCAACTTCATATGAATTTTTAAATTTTAGAAATTTTAGTTTCCAATAATGGCTAAAAAGTAAGCAACCAGCATATCCTAGATTAACTTTCACTAGCATATTTAATGACCTTTAGAAACAGGTTCTTCTCCTGGCCAACCCACTCTTACTTTCAAGAAATACACCTCTGGGACTTCTGGCCAAGATGGAAGCATAGGTAGACACAGTGTGCCTCCTTGCACAACCAAAAGAAGGACAACAACAACTTGAAAACAAAAAAGAATCAGAACTGACAGAAAATCAAACTGTATGGAAGTCTGACAACCAAGGAATTAAAGAAGAAATATCATCCAGACTGTTAGGAGAGGTGGAGATGGGCAGCTGGGTGGAGATGGGCTGCTGGGTGGAGAGGACTCACAGGAAGGTGGCAGCTACAGGACCAGAGAAGGCAAGATGGCGGCTGGCTAACCCAGTGAGGTGGCAACTGGTGGAGTGAGTGGTCCCACATTCATGTGCGGATAAAGTGGGAGGAACAACTGGGGAGCAAGACAGAATGAGCAACCCAGGGCTCCAGTACAGGAAAATAAAGCCTCAAACCTCTGAGTGAAAACACTGGTGGGGGTTGAGGAAGCAGCAGAAGAAACTCCCAGCCTCACAAGAGAGTTGGTTGAAGAGATCCACAGGGTCCTAGAATGTACACAAACCCATCCACACAGGAATCAGCACCAGAAGGGCCCAATTTGCTTGTGGGTAGCAGGGAAAGTGACTGTAATTTAGCAGAGAGCAGAGCAAGTGGCACTCTTGTCTCTCGGACCCCTCCCCCACTTACAGCATCACAACACAGCTGGTGAAAATATAAGGCTCCACCTCTTACTATGTAACAGCCCCTCAGAGACCAAAAAAAAAAAAAATGACCAAGAGAAAGAACAGATAAAAGCTCCAGAAAAAAATACAACTAAGCAAGGAAGAGATAGTCAACCTATCAGATGCACAGTTCAAAACACTGGTAATCAGAATACTTACAGAATTGGTTAGGTATGGTCACAAATTAGGGAAAAATGAATTGAAGGCTATGCTAAATGAAATAAAGGAAAATGTACAGGGAACCAATAGTAATAGGAAGGAAACTGGGACTCAAATCAATGATTTGGACCAGAAGGATGAAAGAACATTCAACCAGAAAAGAATAAAGAAACAAGAATTTTAAAAAAATAAGGAGAGGCTTAGGAACTTCCAGGACATCTTTAAATGTTCCAACATCCAAATCATAGGGGTGCCAGAAGGAGAAGAGGCAGAACAACAAATGGAAAACTTATCTGAACAAATAATGAAGAAGAACATCCCCAGTCTGGCAAAGGAAATAGCTAGGAAGTCCAGGAAGCTCAGAGAGTCCCAAAGAAGTTGAACCCAAGGAGGAACACACCAAGGCACATCATAATTATATTAGATAAGATTAAAGATAAGGAGGGAATCCTAAAAGCAGCAAGAGAAAAGGAGACAGTTACCTACAAAGGAGTTCCCATAAGCCTATCAACTGATTTCTTAAAAGAAACCTTTTAGGCAAAAAGGGGCTGGAAAGAAGTATTCCAAGTCATGAAACGCAGGGACCTACAACCAAGAGTACTCTATCCAGCAAAGCTATCATTTAAAATGGAAGGCCAGATAAGGTGTTTCCCAGATAAGGTGAAGTCAAAGAAATTCATCATTACCCAGCCTTTATTATGTGAAATGTTAAAGGGTCTTAGAAACAAAAGATTAAAAATATGAACAGTAAAATGACAAGGAACTCATAGCTATTAACAACCAAACCTAAAAATAAAAACAAAAATAAACTAGGCAAATAACTCAAACAGGAACAGATTCACAGAAACGGAGATCACCTGGAAGGTTATCAGCAGGGAGGGGGGAATGGGGGAAAAGGTACAGAGAATAAGTAGCATAAATGTTAGGTAGAATATAGATGAGGAAGTTAAGAATAGTATAGGAAATGTAGAAGCCAAAGAACTTATATGTATGACCCATGGACATGAACTAAAGTGGTGGGATGCAGGTGGGAGGAGGTGTGCAGGGTGGAAGGGAATGAAAGGGGGGAAATGGGACAACTGTAATAGCATAATCAATAAAATATACTAATAAAATATCTTGAAATTAAAAATAAAATATACATAAGAAAGAGAAAAAAGGTGAGTATTTTCCCATTTTATCCAGTAACTGGTTTATTTAGTCCTAAATACATTCTGGAGAAACATATTTGGGCAACATTGTTTTCAAGAAATTCTCACCTTATTACAGGACAAACTCCATTCTTCTTGCTAATGCAGTAAAGAATTACAGATCAGCAATCCTATTACCATGCAGGCAAAATGTATTAATACTAAATTCTAATGGGAAAACAAAAGCAAGGGTTGTAAGAAGTGTGGGTTCAAAGAACAAGGTTACCAGAGGCTGGGTGACCAGAGAGAAGTGGCTAGAGGCCAGGTGGCCAGGGGTCCCTGTGTGGCAAAAAAAGCCAAGAGAGCGAGTCCTTTTTTCTAAGGATTTATACAGTTGGCAGGTTGTGGGGGAAGGAGTCACATAATTGAAAGGTAAAGATGATGCCAGCTTTCCTGCCTCTGCACAGACATTACTACCAAAGGTAGATATATATGGAGGTCTGTTAGTCCGAATCCCTATCTTGCTCCACACTCCATTTGTTCATTTTGCATACATGATAGAAGGCAGGCAATTAACCAAATTTGTCTTATGGGCTTTTTCTTTGGGCACTATGGAATTCCTTCCAGGCCTTGGGATGAATATATAGTCTTAAGGTTTTCTTTTTTTCTAGTTAGTGGAGATGATGAACACAGACTTTCAAGGGCTCTCCCCTTATGCACTATCATAGTTTTATTTATATTGTTCAGAATGTGTGGCAATCTTATTGAACCAGGCTCAGGACTGCTGAGTTAGGTGGTGAGACATGTCTTCCTTTACTTCCAGCGTCCTGTATTAAGTTCTTTCTTGGATTGTAATGGTGAGGACACTACCTTTATATCCCCTCTGGATGCTCATTCCTAGCTGCTACGTAACAATCCTACCAAGTAAATCAGGACAGATTTGATTGGTAGAAATATATATTGCCCCATAACATTTCCTAGTTGGAAGGGTACAGGTTCGGATTTAAAAACTGACCGGATCATTAGCTCTACCATTTGTATAGAAGCTCACTCTGATGGAGTCGATTGCCAGAGATAAATGGGAGATTAAGTAAGGTGAAAGGATTAAGAAGTACAAGTTGGCAGTCCCCAAACAGTCGAAAGTATGCCATATGAGAGGATGGGATATTCAAACTCGTTTGTAAATTTAGCCAAAAAACTGCTAAGTCTGACCTCAATTTGAGGGAGGTCTGACATTGAAGAGGGAGCCCAGACCCAAATACCTTTTGATCCAGCAACCTCATGTAAAGGGAGTTAGGTCACAGGTTTAGGGGGTTCCTGGAATGGTCAGGAGAACCCGAATCTGAAGGACAGGTGGATAGGTCCATGGAGGACAAGGCCTAGGGGTGGAAAAGTGGCTTGAGTTAAAAAATGGCCACTCTTTTCTCTGCATTGAGAGGCAGTCCCCACCCCCACCACCTCCCCAGGATTTAGTAGCTCCCAGGTCTTTCAGAGAATTCAGAATGCTTTACAGTCTAAATTTTACTGGAAGGGGGGTGGAGTGAGATTTTCTCCCTCTTTGTATCCTTTTGTTTACTTGAGTGGGCAAAGTGGAACCAAACCTAATTCCAAAAGGGAGTTTAATACATGATTGGGGTTAGGCAGGTAAGAAATAGCATCACCCCCTGCTGGGTAATATTGATTAAAAGAGCTTGGCCTTAAGAGATTAGAGTGCTGCTCAGCTGGAAAACAAATACAGCAATTAATTTGTAGGAAGACAGGAATGGGGGTAGAAGGAACAGTAAAGTGAGGCAAATTTGAATGAAGAGGCATAGGTAGGAGAAAAGGGCTTAGAATCTGTGTTCTGGGTGTTGGAATTCTCTTTTTGGAGCACAGTGGCTCAGATACCACCTTGACTGTTTGCAGTTCTCCTGGGGCACAAAGGTGGAATTGTGTGGTTTCCAGGAGTTACGGTGGGTCATAGAGAAACGGGAAAAGACACCAGAGTTTGGGCTGCCTGTCACTACCAAACCAAATAAGCAAAGACAGCGATTGAATCTTTATGAGAACTTTATTTAGATGGTTGCCGATCTGAGAAGATGGCGGGTTTGTACCCTAATAGACCGTCTTAAATTACATTTTAAAATGGTCGTTTTTATAAGGAGAACAAAGTGTAGGTTTGGAATTCAGGGAAACGTTAGTTGGATTAAAAAAACAACTTCAGTGTTCTTGTCCTGAGTGGTGGTCTTAAGCTGTGCCCCAGGCGGTGGTCTTTAGCTGTGTCTTGGGCTGTAGTGGTCTCACCCTGGAGTACAATGGCTCAGATATCATCCTGAATTGCTTGCAGTCCTCCTGAGGAACAAAGGTGGAACTTCTTATGGTCTCCTGGAGTCAGGGTGGGTCATACCTTCATTCCCTGGAACAATAGCTTTTACATGCATTGACTACTAAGTTTATTAGTTATTAAACTAAAATTTTTCCAAGTCTTAAATCCCCTATCAATAGTTTCAGTTCCCGAAACTAAGAAAGGTGGCATGAGCAAGAAGCTAGGAAAATTCCTGGGCAAGTGCAATGGAAAAACTGAGACAAGAAAATTAAACAAACAGTGTGAGCAATTTACAGCCAGCTAGTGAATTTCTAGACCTTATCTCCCCAACCAAGCATAATTTGAAACCAGAAAAGCCAATGTTTATGCTGCCTGTCACCTACCAGACCCAACAAGCAGAGACAGGGATTGAATCTTTATGGGCCCTTTATTCAGAAGACTGGTGATCTGAGAAGATGGTGGGTTTGTACCCTAAAAGACCATCTTAAATTACATTTTAAAATGGCCCATTTTATAATAAGAACAAGTAAAAGTAAGGGGTTTAGAACTCAGGGAAAAGTTACTTGGATTTAAAAAAACTGCAGCATTCTCCCCCTAGGTTGTGGTCGTTAGCTACGTCCTGAGCGGTGGTGGTCTCACTCTGGAGTACAATGGCTCAGATACCATCTTGATTGCTTGCTGTCTTCCTGAGGGACTAAGGTGGAACTGCTTATGGCCTCCTGGAGTCAAAGTGGGTTATATCTTCAGTTCCTGAAACAATAGCTTTTTACATACATTGTTTACTAAGCTTACTAGCTATTACCTGAAACTAAAAACTTCCCAACATTTGAGTCCCCTATCAAATTGAGAGTAAATGTTTTATACCTCCTCTCCCTAACCTGAGAATACATAACTTCCCAGGCCATAAACCTCAGGCCTTTGGAAAGAGAGGAAGAGAAATTCTGAAAAGGGAGCCAGCTTGGGAAGAAGCTGCAGACTTCCCTTTCAACTACCTCTCCCAAGAGAAACAGCATGTTTGTGCTCCTGCTAGGAATTTCCCCCTTCCAATATTTCCCCCTTCCTATATTCCCCCTATATAAACTTGCTTCTCAAAGCTCAAGATAAGGTGGATGTTAGGGTTTTTACCCACCATCTTCTTAGATTTCTAGCCTCTGCTATTAATAGAAGTCTAAGTATAATTCAGTCCTTGTCTCTGCTTTTTGGCTGAGCCATGACAGGCAGCATGAGTCCAGGTACCCAGGCACCCTCTGGTTTCACTACTGCCAAATCACAGCTCCTCAGGGTCCCAGTCCAGAGAAGGATTTTATCATGGTCTTGCCTAAAGTTCCCCTAACTCATTTCAGCCCAGAGCTGCCTCCCAGATGTTTCCTGTTGGCAGACAGTTCTTCAGGTTGGTGGTAGAGGTGATTCTCCCAGTCTCTAACCCTAGGGACACTGGACTCAAGTCCTATCCCTCCTGGGGATATATAACTGGAATGCTATATATACTTCCCTATTTCCTCTTCAAGCAGCTCAACTTTGGCTTTTAAAAGTACCTGGGGGCATTTAAAGCTGTGATGCCTGAGTCATATTCCAAATCAATTACATGGGAATTTCTCGGATGGGACCCAGGCATCAGCGTAGTTTAAAGCTTCCCAGATGATTATAATGTACAAAGTTGAGAACCACTATCATAAAGTTCAGCATTGGGGGTAACATAATTCATGATGATCAGTTGACGTATTTGCCAGTGTTGCATAACATACATTCATTGTTACTTTTATGTAATGCCTGAGTCTAGTCACTGCCACTGTGAAGGTCACAATACTCCTGTTATTATGTCTACCACTGGGATGGTCTTCCTGGAACATTTGACTTAAGAGAAAGCAAACTGGAAAAGCAACCACATGAACCAGCAACGGTAGGAAGAAGTGCTCATCTGCTTAGTGCTGTCTCTAAGGAGGTGAAGAGCCAGAGGGGAAGAATCCTACACTAAATAAACCTAGAAGTAGGAAATGAAAGAAAGTGGGATGTTAGCTATCCTAGTATATAGTATTAACAAACCAGTAAGTACTAAGTTCAGAAAACTGTTGGAATAGTCAGTCTGCCAATTTCTCTTGCAACCCAGTTGGTTTAAGAGCCACCAACTGGGAAACCCTGAGTTGTCTAGTCTCCCTGCTCCTACAGATCCAAATTTCCGCTAAGTAGCCTTCTGAACAGACACAACTAGGGCCAATTCCTTTCCTGAAGAATACCACCTCACTCAACCACACATATCTTTATTTCTGAGAGTCAAGGAAACCTTTAATGGTCACAGGTATGCATATGTTTGTTCAAAAAGGCAGAGCAAAAATAGGCCAAAGGGAAATGATTTGTTGCTTCAAGAAATAGTTTCTGGCTGTAATGAAACATACGATTAGTGAGTGACTTGTGCCAACCACAAAATGTCAGTTTGAGTCCCAAGGGAACAAGAGATAGGTTGTTGGGAACTGCTCTGCCTGGTTTTAGGAGTTGTAACTGCCCCCCATGGCTAAGGCTGAATGAGCGACCTCCGGAATTCGAGCCACAAGGAGACAAAGCTTGTCTCTGCTTCCTCCCCTGCCCCCCACGCATGGTTGGTTAGTCAATGATGGGTACAACTCCTCAGAGGCTGGGGGAAACCTAAGCCAGACCCGATCACTTGGGAGGCCTTCATGGAAGGACTCAGGGAGCTGCAACAAAGAGGGGGTGATGGACCCTTGCCCCCCCCCCCCGGGGCTATTTTGATATAGCCTGAGTCACCATGTCCTGTGGGAGAAGTGCTTCCTGGATCTAATCCACTTAAGCCTGAAAACCTGTGATGGGGAAGGTAGTGCAGCCCCTTGCCTGGCCAGAGTGGGATCCAGGGTGATCAAGCATAAGAAAGAGTTCCTAAGTCCTGTGAAGCTTGCTTTGCTAAGAGTGCTTTCATTCATATGATAAGGGTCTGAGCAGGAAATGAGTGTCTCCCAAAGTCTTTGCAACCCTCTTCCTGACAGACACTGACTCAGATTAAGTCCTCAGATTTTTTTGGAATGGTATCTGTTTGATCCTTGCCACCTGACATTGATCAATGAGCTTTACCTGTATTCCTGTGTATTACAACCTAATAAAAGCCATTGAGGAAGGAGCTCTTGGTCTTTCTCCTCTGAGAGATTGACCACCTCTCCTCCCCAAGCAGATCATGTCTTGGTAGTTTCATTTTCATCCATGGCAGATGGGGGAACTTGTGAGCAAAGTTGCCCCCACAATTGGTTAAGTTCACTTTTCAAGGGAGATAACAATAATGAACATCATACCCATGCAGACATTAAGTGCTGAATGTCTTTCCTACTGAGCGCCTTTTCCTATCGAGTCTCTGTTGACCTTAAGACTATTCCTCTTCAGGGGTATTGAGGACTTTTTCTCTCAATATTTATAATCCTTACCTCTACTCCTGCCTGCTTTTCATTGGGGCTAACATCATTTCATGTGACAGTTCTGTCCTACTGATGCCGACAGTATCTAGTCTGCTGTCCCAGTGCCCATTGAATGCTTAGTGGGCCATGAGATTCTGTCCTCCAACACAGATAATCAACCAGGCATGGGCACCTCACTGAAGTTGGGAACCTCAGATTCTCAGTACAGGAATCAGGACTTTGGACAAAGAAACTGAAGTAGAATACTTGAAATGGGCAGTTGTGGAGAGCTATGCTTGAGGCGATAATTTTATGCCACAGGCATGCTCAACCTGAAAATGTTGGCATATCCAAAAGAAAGTGTTCAGGTACAAGCATCCATTGTTAGCTGACAATGGCCTGGATGCACATGGGACTGTTTTCCTTGTGCAACAAAAAGCCCAGGTGTAGGTGGTTGTTGGCAGTTGGTCAGCAGCTCAATAGTCCCACCAAGGACCTTGGATTTTCTGTGCTCAGCATGTCCTTTAGAACTCAAGTGTCTCCTGCAGTCATGCATAACTGCTGCCATTCTAAGCATAACTTGGAGTTCAGGGCAGGAGAAGAAAGGGCAGGGATAACACCATCTGTCCTTTTCATTAGAAAAGCATGAACTTTTGGACACTTAAAAAGAATTCCTAGATTTCTGATTTTATCTCACAGCCAGAACATTGCTTGTGACCACCTTAGCTTCAAGAGCTGGAAAAGTGACAATGTATCTTTTCTAGCTCAAGAGTGGAGGGTGACAAAAGAGAAAAAGGCCAACCAAACAACAGGGCTTACACAGAATTATGGAGGGGATGCAGAAACAGCACACTATGAGGTGCCAGCAGGTGGAGAAGAACTTTGCTTCTGTTTCTCTAGGTCTTTGTTCCAGTGTCTGTGAGGACTGGTTGTACTTTCTGCACTAAGTTCTATAAGATATCTTCATATCCTTTCTATAGATCCCTTCCACATCTTCAACTTGTTCATGGATTTCTCTTTCTGGCAACTGAGTAATCCCTAAAATCCTTTTTTTACTGTGAACTAACTAGTCTACATCCTCTAACTTTGTACTCTCCATGGTCCTCCTTAGCTGAAACCAGAGCTTCCCATCAGACCACAAACACTTATAAAACCCTAGGCTAACCAGGCCAATGTTCCTCCTGCTCTCCCTAATCTGAATGAAGGCAGGAAAGGCTTGGCCCTTTTCTGATTTTTGCTTCTTTCAGACAAGTCTTCCTTGATTATGCAAAACTTGGTCTACACTGATCATCATTCTCTTGTTGACCAATCCCTGGGTATGCTACACTTTCCTCTTGTTTCTTGTCATTTATCATCCCCTCAACTAGTCCATGATAATCTTACTAATTCAAGGCCTGGTTTACAGGTAACTTCCTGTAAGAAGCCTTCTCTGGCCACTTTCAATTAATGGGACTTGTTCCTTCTGGTCTGCAAGGTACTCTGTAGTTCTTCAGTGGCATTACTTTATATTGGTTGTTATGCTTCTTATTTCCCCTCTCAGACTGAAATATTCCTGCACATTGACTCATATTATTTTACCTTTGTTTTGTTACAGTACTTGGCTAAGCACTTGGAAGGCTTTCAGGAGATATCTGTAGAAGAAATAGAAACAAAATGGGGTTGGGAAAAAGCAATGGACTGAAAAAAGGTGTGTTTCTAGTTTTAGCTGTGAGGCACACTTTTGGTTGCATGCCCAGCATCATTGCTTCTAAGCTGGTAGAACCCTGAGTTTATTGAGATAAATGTCCTCCATGTGGGCCAGTGTTTCAGTGAAAGTGGGCCTCATCCCCAGTTTTAGGGTGTGGCAGGTGGGGGTGCAGCACAGGTTCTGGTTGGTTTAACCTAGTGGTTCTCAACAGGGCTATTTTGGCCCCCAGGGGACACACTTGTCCGCATTATTGATTATCATTACTACGTGGGATGCTATTAGAACCTAGAGGGTGGAGGTCAGTGATACTGCACAGGAAAGCTTCTCCCCTGCAGACCCCCATCAGAAAACTATCTGGCCCCAAATGTCAACAGTGTTGAGGTTGAGAAACCTGGTCTAAATAATTGCAGGGGTTCCACCCTACTGCCAATAATTGGGGGGCAGTTAGGCTAGAGGGTGGGGTGAGGGGACTGAGAACTGAAGCCACAATGAACAAAATGGACCTCATCATGACTCACAAACAGAAAAATGATACTAAACTGTGCCTAAGGATTAGTGATCTCAGCTCAAACCATTTAAGGCATTTAGCTCATTCAGACCACATGTTCTAAGATAAAGACCACTGACTCCTTCCAGAGATTCTCCTAGTTTACAAATCTTGACCTATCCCTGCCAAGATGATCTGTGACTAACTCCAGCCCCCAAATCCCAAGAGGACCCTTCCATAACTCCACTGCTTTGAGGAGCCTCACAGGACCTCTGGTGCATTCCTTTGTTGTAGGAAGTTTAATAAAACTAATTTGTTATTTTTTATTGAGGAATAATTGATATACAACATTGTATTAGTTTTAGTTGTATAATACAATGGTTTGATATTTGTATATATTGTGGACGGATCACAAATTTAGTTAACATCTGTCACCACACATTGTTACAGACTGTTCTTTTGTCATGAGGACTAAGATCTATTCTCTTAGCAACTTTCAAATATGCAGTACAGTATTATTAACCAGTCACTATATTGTCTACTAACATTATCACTATATTTTTTACAAATATATTCCTGGTTGCTTTTTGTTGGAGAGCTTTAACAGTGGGCATAGAATATAAATAATTTTAATGTGGTGTGCTATGTCCTATATATAATTCAGTCATGTTCAAAGTGCCTTAGAAACAAATATTCTGTGGAAGGAATTAAGGGAATAATGATTTTCAGTAATGATACTTGAAGTAGGTCTTGAATAATGAAATATTTTTGGCCAAGTGGAGCTGAAGGGAAGCATTATCACAGGGAGAACAGATAATATGAATAAAGGCAAGGAGACACAGGATTAGAAGTAGCAGCAATCCTGAGTGTTTGAAACATGGGAGTCAGGGAAGGAAGGATAATCCAGACAGGCAAGAAGGGCCAAGATCATGTAGTACTGTCAAAAGCCTCCCTGATATATTGGTTTTGTTCAACAGGGAATGAAGTGTTGCCAGTTATAACTTGGGATCCCTGAAGACCTGGATTTATAGAACTTTTCACTTCCCTCTTGTTGGTTCTTTTTCATCTCTTCTTATGATACAGTTGTGTGGGATTCTAGTGCCATCTAGCACTAAAAAAGAGGAGGGCACATTTCCATCAGGAAAGCCTTCGAGTGCAGTGAGTGAATTAATTCTTACTATTTAATTTCAAATAGGCCTTTTCTAGAGATGATACATAGTAACAGGACTTGGTTTCCTTTGCCTGGGAATCCTACTCCCTGCTCCCTTCACCAAAATCCTATTCATTTTTTCAGCTCTCAGCTGTAAAATTCTCTCATGTTATTCCTTTATTAGACTTAAAATTTTACATTTATTATGGTGAGCTGATTAAAGTTGTCTCTCTCCTTAAATTTCCATAACTGGGCAAGTTTGTGGTTTGCTTACCATCATTTTCCAGCACTTACAAATTACACCTGGTTCACTAAATTAAAGGACAATTTGATGATTATTTCATGTTTTCTTAGACCTTACTTACTGTTATTTATACCCTGTGTTTATTACTTGGGTAACCTTTTGATATGTCAAACTAATTTTTAAAAAATATCCATGGCTGAAAGTCTTTTTGTAAGTAAGGTTTTATTGAGACAAAGATGCTAGGCAGTATGGCTAGGCAGAACAGACAGCCTGTCTGTGGTACAGAGTTTTGCAAGTATTTTAATATATTAAGTAGGGGGAAAGGAGAAGTAAAATGTCTGAAAGAATTTACATAAGCTATGGGCAAAGCAGTAGGCAAGGTGGAAGGGGTCCAGCTTTGGGACAGTTGCCAAGTTGGAGTATAAAGAAATGTCTGCTACTGTAGACTGGTTGGGGGCAGCAGTCGGAACAACCCTGTGCAAACAGGTGGGACTCCTGAAGTTATATGGTGCTTGGCTAAAATAACCTATGGAAATAGCCACCTGGAAATCAATCCTAAATTCCAACAGGCAAAACAGGAATGTAGTAAGTGTTTTGTTAAGTGGTAAGCAGACATAAGACTGTCTCTTTCACTCTCCTGCTGTAATTTAATTTAGAATTGTTTTCTTAGCACTTTTTGTAAACTTTATCAAACATCTGTTGTAACCATCACAAAAGACTTAACACACAAATTCTGGCCTTAACCAAAGAGACATTTTCTAGCCTGTTTTCCTCTTAACTGGACCTGTTCAAAGTATAATTTTCAGGCAGGCATTGTTGCTCTACTGAATCTCTAAGAGTATAATCTCATATTTTTAAAAGATTTATTTATTATTAGAGAGAGGGGAAGAGAGGGAGAAAGAGGGAGAGAAACATTAGTGCGTGGTTGCCTCTCACACGCCCCCAACTGGGAACCAGGCCGCAATCCATGCATGTGTCCTGACTGGGAATCCAACAGGCAACCCTTCAGTTCGGTTGGCAGGCTGGCACTCAATCCACTGAGCCACACCAGCCAAGGCACATAAATGTTTTTTACGCTGCCTGTAAGAACGCGTCTTTTGTGATTCTAATAAACAGCACCATCCTCTTTACCAACACAAACCAAGCACAAGCGAGGTGCAAAACAATAATTGTTGTCGTTGCCATTACAAGTGAAATGAAATGAAAGCAGGCAACGCAGGCCAAAGGCACTCACCCACTCTGTGCCGGTTCCAAGACCTGCGACCAGCCTTCAGGAACCCGCGGGAAGCCGACCGCCAGGCCCAAGGACTAACGCCCAGCAGCCTGCCCACCCCGCTGCCGGAAGGGGCGTGAGAAATCACGTCATTTCTGCGCGTGGGCGGGCGGAGAGGGGGCGGTGTGCAGCCCTTCTCGGTGTCGCGTTGCTGTTTTGGTATTTGCTGGGCGGGAAGCACTAGTAGTCGCAGAATGAGCGAGGCGGACGGGCTACGGCAGCGCCGGCCCCTGCGGCCGCAAGTCGTCTCTGATGACTGGCAGATCCCGGAGACCAAGGACTGCAGGTAGGCCCGGCCTCCAGACTTTGTTCTTGAGCGGCGGGGCCGACCGCCGATCACGATGATGGAACTTACAGCAGCCCCGTACTTGCGGTGCCCACGCGCGGCAAGAAGCGCGGCACGATTTAATACCCTTGGCAAAACTCATTTTACAGGAAACAAACAGGCTCTGATCAAACTGATGGCACCTGCCAGATGCTGGAGGCTATGCGCACACTCTGCGCCCTATTGCGGCATTATTCCCGGTTGCAGCTCTGGAGGCCTCCTCGCGCCGCACCTGCCCCTGCTTCTAGAGCAGTGGTTTCCTCGCTTTCCCTTTCCTTAAACGCTGTCCACAGTGTTGGCCTATCATTTCCCTGGGGGAAAGCCGTCTAGCCACTGCCCTACGTCTTCCGGGTTCTGCGCTCTCACTGAAGGGAGGTCTGAAAAGATGGTTCAGGGAGCGCCTGTATATCCAGCGAAGAGCTGGTTTCTGCACCTGGTCCCCTGTTTCTGAGCAGGATCAGTCCTCACTGCGGTTTTCCGGAAACAGTAGCGAACAGAGAAGTGACTTTGTTAGGCAATTTTTCGTGGAATTCAGTCTTACGGATTTTTCCTAATACGGACCGAGAAGCAGAGGAAACTGTAGTTGATGCCTGATGAAAGAAATGTCAGGTTTTTGGCCTTTGCTTCTGCCAGCCTTCCAGAATTTAAGTATGCTGATTTGTTAGATAAAGACTGAAGCATGGTCCTTAAACATTTATTTTAATGTAAAATACTTCTGTTTTGAATTTTTCGTCCTGAGTCTGAATACTTGGGAAGAACCAAGTGGCCCTATATAGAATAAGCTCAAAGTTGTGGAATTGATTAACTTATAAGTTGATAGGAATAGAAATATTTATCGGTGTGCCAAGAGATATGGTAGATACTGAATGAGGGACAGTTTTTGCCAGGACAGACTGAATTTTTAATTTATTCACCTAGAATAATAAGAGGAACACTTTTGAAGGAGAGAGATAACAGAAAGGAGTGTTTCGGTCTAGAAAGGTGATTCGCAGAGAAGACTTTCTGATAATAGCTGACTCCTGGGCTCAGTGGGAGGGTGGGTAATATGATACAGTCCTTACTATAGGGGTGACCAACCATCCTATTTCCCCTGGACTCAGAAACCTCCAAGGATGCAGGACTTTCAGTGCTAATCTTGGCAGACCAGGACAAATTGGTCACCCTATTGATTGTGGATATTGATTGTGAAGTCATCCTCTGATGATGACTGAGGAACCTTTTAGAATGGTCATGCAAGAACTAGCAGTGCTTTACTATAGAAACCATAAAGACAAGGCATGGCATGTACACTTTTACATAATAAATTAAAGTGCAGCTGGCCCTGAGATCTCTATGAAGTGCAGTGTTGAAAACCAAGGCATATAGCTCCTGTGGGCACTTACTGGATAGGCCCAAGTCTCACCTGGGCTCCTCTGACACTCCTGGCCCTGCTGCAGAGGGGCAGAGTTAATTAAATTGTTTTTTCAGTTTCCCTGAGGAGATTTCTGACTTAATGGCAGGGTAAATTAGATGTTCCAAAGTTATCTGCTACTGGTCTTTTCCAGTGTACCTTGTACATTGTGTTCATCTAAGATACTTTTTTTTCAGGTTTATTTTATTTAAAAATATATATGTTATTGGTTATGTTATTACAGTTGTCCCAATTTTACCCCCTTTGCCTTCTACATGGTACTCCCCATTCCCTCTGGCAGTAACCCCTGTCCCTTTAGTTCATGTCCATGGGTCAGGCATGTAAGTTCTTTGGCCATTCCATTTCCTGTATACTGTTCTTAACATCCCCTGGTCTATTCTGTACCTACAAAATTGTAATTCTTTTTTTTTTTTTTAACATAACCATGGATTTTATTTTATTTTTTTCCACATTTTTAAAAAATTTATTTAGTTATTTTCGAGTACAGTTTTCTTTTGTCAATTTCTCCCATCCCAGCCCCCCCCTCCGCCCCGTCTCCCCACCTCCCTCCCATTCCCCCCCACAGTCCTCATCCCTGTGTCCTTCCTATTTGTTCCTCCAAATCCCTCCCCCTTTTTCCCCTTAACTTCCCTTCCTTCTCCCCTCTGGTCACTATCCTCTTGTTCTCTATTTCAGTGTCTTTGTTTTTATTCTGCATGCTTGTTTGTTTTGTTGTTTAGCTTCCTGTTAATGGTGAGATCATATGGCATTTGTCTTTCAACATCTGGCCTATTTCACTCAGCATAATGCTTTCCAGTTCCATCCATGTTGTCACAAAGTAGCTCCTTCTTTCTCGCTGCTGCATAGAATTCCATTGTGTATATGTACCACAATTTTTTGATCCATTCATTTACTGATGGGCACCTAGGTTGCTTCCATCTCTTGGCTATTGTAAATTGTGCTGCCATGAACATTGTGGTGCATAGGTTCTTTGATATTGATGTTTTAGGATTCTTCGGACATAATCCTAGCAGTGGAATTGCTGGGTCAAAAGGCAGGTCGATTTTTATTTTTCTGAGAAAATTCCATACTGTTTTCCATAATGGTTGTACCAGTCTGCAATCCCACCAACAGTGAACTAAGGACCCCTTTTCCCCACAACCTATCCAAAATTTGTTGTTTGTTGCTTTGCTTATGATAGCCATCCTGACTGGTGTAAAGTGGTATCTCATTGTGGTTTTAATTTGCATCTCTCTGATAGCTAACGATATTGAGTACCTCTTCATGTGTCTCTGGATATTCTGTATGTCCTCTTTGGAGAAGTGTCTGTTCAGGTCCTTTTCCCATTTTTGGTCCTTTTCCCATTTTTTAATTGGGTTCGACGTCTTCCTAGAGTGGAGTCGTGTAAGTTCTTTGTATATTTTGGAGATTAAACCTTTGTCTGAGGTATCATTGGCAAATATGTTTTCCCATACAGTTGGTTGTCTTTTTAATTTAATACTGTTTTCTTTGGCCATGCAGAAGCTTTTTATTTCGATGAGATCCCATTTGTTTATTCTTTCCTGTATATTCCTTGCTCTAGGGGACATATCGGTAAAAATGTTGCTGTGTGGAATATCTGAGATTTTCTTGCCGATGTTCTCCTCTAGGACTTCATGGTGTCACGGCTTATATTTAAATCTTTTATCCACCTTGAATTTATTTTGGTGTATGGTGTAAGTTGGTGCTCAAGTTTCATTTTTTTACACTTAGCTGTCCAGTTCTCCCAACACCATTTGTTGAAGAGGCTATCTTTCCTCCATTTGATGTTACTGTCCCCTTTGTCGAATATTAGTTGACTGTAGAGAGTTGGGTTGATTTCTGGGCTCTCCATTCTGTTCCATTGGTCAGTCTATGTGCCTATTTTTATGCCAGTACCAGGCTGTTTTGATTACACTGGCCTTGTAATACAGTTTGATGTCAGGTATTGTGATCCCTCCTACTTTGTTCTTCTTTCTCAAAAGAGCAGTTGCTATTCGTCGTTTATGGCTCCATATAAATTTTTGAAGTGTTTGTTCTATGTCTGTGAAATATGCCATCGGTACTTTAATAGGTATTGCATTGAATGTGTATATTGCTTTGAGTAGTATGGACATTTTGATGATGTTAATTCTTTCAATCCATGAACAAGGTATATGTTTCCATTTGTTTGTGTCTTCCTTGATTTCTTTCTTCAGTGCTGTGTAGTTTTCTGCACACAGGTCTTTTACCTCCTTGGTTAGGTTTATTCCCAGATATTTTATTTTTCTTTTTGCTATATCAAATGGAATTTTTTCCTTGATTTCTGCTTCTGCTGATTCACTGTTGGTATACAAAAATGCCTTTGATTTCTGGATATTGACTTTGTAACCAGCTGTTTTGCCAAACTCATTAATTAGTTTGAGCAGTTTTTGGGTAGAGTCTATAGGATTTTCCATGTACACTATCATGTCATCTGCAAACAGTGACAGTTTTGTTTTCTCCTTTCCTATTTGGATGCCTTTTATTTCCTTTTCCTGCCTGATCGCTGTGGCGAAAACTTCTAATACTATATTGAATAGAAGTGATCAAAGTGGACATCCTTGTCTTGTTGCTGATCTTAGTGGAAAAGCTTTTAGTTTTTGCCCATTGAGTATGATATTGGCTGTAGGTCTCTCATATATGGCCTTTATTATATTGAGGAATGCTCCCTCTATTCCCACTTTGCTGAGTGTTTTTATCATAAATGGGTGCTGGACCTTATCAAAAGCTTTTTCCGTGTCTATTGATATGATCATGTGGTTTTTGTCTTTGCTTTTGTTTATGTGATGAATTACATTTACTGATTTGCGAATCTTGAACCATCCTTGCATCCCTGGGATGAATCCCACTTGGTCATGGTGTATAATCTCTTGGATATATTGTTGGATGCGATTTGCCAATATTTTGTTGAGGATTTTAGCATCTATGTTCATCAGTGATATTGGCCTGAAGTTTTCTTTCTTTGTTGTATCTCTATCTGGTTTTGGAATTAGGATGATGCTGGCTTCATAAAAGGAGTTTGGGAGTTTTCCATCCTTTTGGACTTTTTGGAATAGTCTGTGAAGAATGGGGGTTAGCTCTTCTTTAAATGCTTTGTAGAATTCTCTTGTGAACCCATCTGGTCCAGGGCTTTTGTGTAATGGGAGTTGTTTTTTTTTTTTTTCTTTCCATATATAATATGTATATATTTTTAATTTTCCCCCCAGTTTTCTTTGTCTTCCTTCATTAGGCAACACATTCCCTCTAAATTTCATTTTCAACTCTCCAGTCATGTAGTGAATTTTTCAATCTCCATGTAATCATTAGGTTGCTTCTAATGTCTTTTTCTCACTATTGGGTACTTGTCAAAGTTCTTTTTTTTTTTTAAATTTTATTTAGTTATTTTTCAAGTACAGTTTTTTGACTATTTTTCCCATCCCAGCCTCCCCTGCCCCTTGCTCCCCACCTCCCTCCCATTCCCCCCCCTTAGTTCTCGTCCCTGTGTCCTTCCTATTTGTTCCTCCAAATCCCTCCCCCCTTTTTCCCCTTAACT